GAACACACCAATTTTTGTCTGCATGTAAGCAAAGAGTCAGAGAATTCACGTTGTTCGCCTTCTCCTTTGCGTCATCACTGCTGAAAATGGACTCTTGTTGTGGAGGGTTTTTTTGTGCTTGTGAAAAAATATCATGTCAGGCCAAAAACAGCCAACAGGCACAAATGGTGAAAAAATCATGCTGAGTGGACGAGTGTCGCTGAGCAAGACAAATGTTTTAAAGAGTGCCTCCTATATTCTCCTATCTCTCACACCGTATTTTCCTTTGAATGTCCCTTTTTGGTCCTTGGTCTAATGTGTCTAATCCAACCTTTTTGCTTTTGTTCATGTCTTATCACTGAAGAAACACCCACATATCTCCCTCTCTTACCCCAACTACACCTCTGGCCTCCTCTTTGCACATTTTCCCACCCTGTCCGACCTCGCTATTCTTTCCCTTTTCTATCCAATTTTCTCATGTTCTTCCCAGTGTTTCAACTCAATAATGGATGTTCATAAAGCTCAATTTACTTCTCGAGCCTTTTCAATCATTCCTCTAGTTAATTCACTCGATGTGCCTGCTTCTGTCTTTGTGGAGGCCGGGCCGGGCTGTCTGCGTTCACCCTACTTACACTCTCACTCCATCAACCAGACGCCCAACGGTTATGACAAATTATACCCATTTACAACAGTGCGAAAAAACTGTGTAAAAACACACAGATACACATGTTAATCCCTGCACAAACACAGAGAAATTCAGCAATAGAATGTATATAGGATAAAATAGACTCACATCAGCATGTTTTAGAGAAAAATACAGATGCTGTTGCTACTGGACAGGCTACTCCGTCTCCATGTTAAAGCTTTCTAACTAAATCTACCCATTAAAGGTCCAGTGTGTAACATTTAGGAGGATCTATTATCAGAAATAGACTATAATATCCATAGGTATGTTTTCATAAGTGTAAAATCACCTGGAAATAAGAATAAATGTGTTTTCGTTACCTTAGAATTAGTTGTTCATCTTGTCAAAGGCCACAGAAGTGCTTTCCATGGAGTCCGCCATGTTGAACTGCTATGTTTCTACAGTAAGCCCAGAATAGATAAGCAACCAAACACTGCTCCAAGATCATAGACGATCTGCAGCCTACACCACAATGCCAAGTAAAATACTGCTCACAGGAATTTTAAGGTAACCCAAAGACGATCGTTGCATCGCTGGCAATTTGCTTTTTCCCATCACAAGACCATTTCTGCCACCTCTTATCATCTGCCACTGAATCACAGATTGAAACTCTAAAACAGGTCAAACTGATTACCATAGCAATGATCACCGGGCCTCACCAACGTTCATACAATCCAATAATCAACCAAACAGAAGTAACAAATTGAGCTGTCTTACCTTAGTACGGGTGTTAGTTTCTTCCTCAACAGATTTTTGTGAAAAAGCTGTTTTGCATTCTGTACTAACAAGGTTTCTCTCTCGGGATATTGAACGTTTTCCAACAATTACTTTTTGCGATTCATGCCGTTGTAAGGCACTTAAACAACTCCTCTTCACTCGTTTTCTACCCCTCACATGCATGCTGCAGCTTACTTTTATGTCTCTTGTCAGAACTCAACACAGCATAGCATAAAAAGGCCGGTGTTATCCTCACTATGTATTCAGCACTGATAAATATACGAGCAGTCAGATGTCTAAGTGCAAACTTACTTAAAAAGCAGATTCTCTCCTTTAACATTTTAGATGCGATCTTTAATAAAATATGATTTCACTAAACTGCGAAGTCCTGAATGAATATTAATCTCCATGTTGGTTACAGATCAGCGTGAAGCAACATGTTTCTGGACAAATTAGAAGAATATGATCCTGTTTATGTGTGTGTGTGCCAGAGCATCTGGTTTGCCCATTTCTGATATAACTTTGTTTTCTAAAGGGAGTCTGGGTGTTATGTTTTATTCAGCAGAGTGTCGAGTTGCCAGGTTGTGACAGCCAGGTTTGGGTACTGATTGAAAGTATAAGTCAAGCCAGACCGCAGCATTGTTCACTCTTAATTGACCTCTATTATATTTTTTATGTGCTTAATGTTTATTTTGCCTTGCTTACAGGTTGCAGAGAAGTAACTTTCCTATCATAAATGTTAGTATTTCATATATTATACCTATGATTTTGTCACAATAATGCTTTTATTTATTATTCAGGTATCATAATTCAATCTTTTTTCTTGTTGTTTCTCTTTCATGCTGTGTTTCTGTTCATGCACCGTCTTCAGTATAGATTGATTTGTGAACTGTAATGTCTTGTGAGCATCTGAAAGGGGCCTTATCCTCTAAATCTGTCCTAATGTGACCACTATTCACATTGTCGATGATCAACAATAGGCCAAATACTTAAGCTTTGATAGGTTGGGCTTGTCTGTGTTCCATTTCCCTGACTTAAGGATCATCTTAGAAAAGATGAGCAGTCATAAATCAAGAATGGCCATGTGTGTTATCTCCTCAGATATGGGTCTGGAGTGGGCTCCATGGATTAGAGACGTGACAGGCTTGCCTAATGGAAGACAGGGTCTGAACCCTCTATCCTGGTAGTCTGCGTGATTGAGTATGGAGGAATATGATTAATGATTCACAGGCTGAGTTTAAATAGTCAGTGCTTTGGGGTTTTGCTGTGGTATATTTTAAATCCCCTCAGTGAACAGTGGAGAAGCTTTCAAAGAAATGTTGAGATTACTGATATTGACTATTGCCTGGGCTGTTATATTGGACTGTTTAAAATATATATCTGTCTCTTACTACATTTCTAAAACAGATTTGTTTTGTCACCTCTTCTCCCATCTTCTTCTCCTCTGCTCTTCTTGGAAATTGAAACTGGGTTTCCATAGTTACTGAGTGAGCACCATAGTTAAACGATGGCCACAACATCCAGTTTACATTGGTGGCTTTAGACTCCGTGTGTTTTCTATGACTCTTGCTTTTTTGAGGGTTTTATAAATGCCAAAACAATGTAGTTTTAATCACTGTCCCTAAATAACCTCTATTGCAGAGACCTCATGAATTCCCACATCAGCACGTTCATGTATTCAAAAGTTTTCTTTGTCTATTTCATGTCAGTGCACTTTTTTTGCCAACTTCTTGGAGGCTTTTCTCTGATGCAAGCCCCCTTCTGACCCATTGAGTGTGTGCGCCTGCAGCTTTATTTGTATGGCAAGGTTCAACATTATTACAAAAAAGAGATCGGGGCTATGGTTAGAGAAAAAAAGATTTTTGACAATATATTGTGGTATTTGTTTTCTCTTAAGTGGCCTTAAAAAATATAAGTCTTTAGTAAATGACTTTAGGTCTGTATTATTAAAGGATAAGGCTGGCAATGTTCTACATTTTTCTTATTGTCAGCAAATCCCACGAAAAGAGCAAAAAACAACAATAAGCTGACTAAAAAGACTGTGTATCCAAAGCCTGAGGTTATTCCTCTGTGCCATCGACCATCCATTGTTGTCATTTTGTCAAAAATATTAAAAACGCATCAGTGAGCCACACTGTTGACATGTTCCTTTATTAACATGACCACACACACTGTAGTTTAATTTTAGTCACTCCCGCAAACACTGTCCTGCAGCCATAAACACTCAGTAGCAAACAAAATATGCGTGACTCCACAGCTGAAAATAGTCCCCAATGAATGCACAATTTCTTCCTGTTTGATTAAAGTTTGCTAAAAGCTACAGTGCCCAGCTGTTTTATGTAATTACTGAGCCGTATTAATTGATATCTTCAGTAGAAATGAATGGCCTTGGAGCTGAATGTCACTGAATGTCTTTTGGTTGGATTTGTTAAAAATCTGAAAAAATATAGCAACACTTCCGGCTTGATTCTTAAAGCAAAAAAACAATAATGGTTTAAGCAGAATAGAAATACAATTATGTTTAAATAACCTTGGAACGTGTAGTATTCTCACACCATTAACATGCCACATAACCTCATTCAGACGGGATGCATGTCCTCAGCTAAATGCATAGAAACCACCCGGTGGGAGCTCCGTTAATGTGTCACATTAGCAGTGTTTAACAGTGTCAATAAGGGATGGAGGGGAGGGAGCAAAGGGGAAATTAATAAGCCTTTGCACGTTCCTCTCTCTATGACTTTCTTGGTGTCTGGATAACATAATAGGACCAATATTCCCCACAGGCACCTGCTAATGACTTGTCTCTACTCAGCTTCCTTATGGGATTGAGCTCAAGTGAATCTGTCAGGCTCTCTGAGATGGTTTTAGCATGTTAAGTGGGTTATTTTGATGCTGTGCGACTGTCATTGTAAAAATATCTTTACAAGTCATTTTCTGTAGTATTGAGCAGGGAGCTACTGACATTTGCACTGGCTGAAAATGCATTCTCACTTGATTATTTGTTTCAGAAAATACATTTATTAAGTCTACTGGCGTGTTCTTGGCCGATCTTAATATCAAAAACATTTTATTTCAAAGTTCTGCAAATTATCAAAGATTTAAAGCTCACTTGAAAATGTATGAATACATCTAATCCTATTGGAACTTGCATAAAGAAGACAAGATTTTTAGACCGTATATTATACACTAAATTACCTATTTTCAGTGTTATCCGGAGATTAGAATCAATAATCGCTTGTTATTTGACTGCATTACTACAGTGAGGTGAGTGAGATCTTTAAGCATTTCAGTGGAGTAACAAGGCAGCTTTGTTTTAACTAAAGACCGAGACGTCCTCCGAGTCCTAGCTGCACAATGGATCTAGTGAATAATCCAGTTAATAAAGCACTCACCTAGTTAAACTAGGCGAGTGACAAACACAGCAGTTCAGTAGATCAAAGGCTGAGGAGCATAATGAATGCAAGACAAGGGAACACGTCTCTTCAGAACACCTGAGTAGTCAATTTCACCTGCTGGGCTGAGAAAGAGAGAAATTATGTTGAGGCAGACAGACATGTTGAAAATACACACATAATAAAATAATAATCAAGTAATTCTAATTCTCTCTCTTTCTCCGCAGGTGTTCTAGCATTCCTAGCACTGTCAGTAGGACTGGTGTCATCAGCACAGGAGCTGTACCTCAGCCAGACATCCCAGGACCCTGTCTCCATGGCAGCCGCCCAGAGCAGCCCCCTGTCTGCCCCCAAACCTCCCCCACTGGACTGGCAACAGGAAGGCTCCAGTAGCGGGGAATGGTCACCCAAACGAGGCACTCAACCCTCAAACATCATCCTCCCTACTGTCGCACTCCACCGTTTGGCCTTGCTTTACACAACCCAAACTTCCAGCATGGCTCATGACGACCATCCCGTTCATGACACAAATGCTGTCACCCCAAACACTGTGAGCTCTGAGAGTCATGTGAATCAGCCCCCGGAGCCCAGTTCTGATATTGTAAACCAAGGCCACATGCACAAATTGGTCAGGGTACCTCAAGTCCATAACCCAGTTACTGTCAGCACTAACCAGGCCAGCAGCAGCAGCCCTAAATCTCTCAGCACAGCGATCCCAAATATAGATGTGGAATCTACTGCCAGAGGGGCTCCAAACCCCCTGGCTCTCATGTCCAGCTCTGGATCAGACAGAGGAGATACTCTCACTGCACACCATGTAGGGCCTCAGAAGTTGAGTGTTGGGGAATCCACCGACCACGGCCGGCAGCGTGTTCCCGAGCTCGAGCACCCTTCCTTGACCTCCATTTCCTCTTCATCAATGAATGCTGACCCGGCGCTAGGCCTGAAACTCAGGGAGCATGCTCGGGGGGCCGCACACCACCACGCCATCACCCTGAGGGAGGTGCATGCAACCGAGCCCCCAACTGATCCACTGGTGGTAGACACAACGTCTGTCAGTCCAGCTAAAGGGACCCCGGGGAGTTCCACCACATCCACTCCAGCACCGTCCACTGAGCTCACCATTAAGTCAACAATCATCCCGAACAACCACACTGCACCGAACGAGACCACCACTAATGATGGTCATGGCCAGGTTGTCCAAGGTAACGGCACAGACGGTAATGCCCCTCTGGGACACTGGTTGGGGAATGTAACTGCATATGGAGGGTTGCTCTCTAACAGCAGCTCTGTCGAGTTGGCGTCTGCTCAGGGGAACAGTTCGGAGCCCCCTTCCACAGGCAATAGGAACTTCCTAAACAAGCAGGTGCCTGCTACTACCCAGGATCCCTGGACTCCTGGCAACAGCTCAGGCCCCACCGTTGACTCCCCGCCGTCCCGCACGACCATCTGCTTGAGCAGGATGGACATTGTGTGGATTGTGTTGGCCATCAGTGTGCCTGTCTCCTCATGTTGTAAGTAATGTTAGAGCAGCTTGACAAAAGGGGAAATTAATTAATTTAAAGAGTGTCAGATTACTTTAGAGTTTAGCTCAACATGACTTAAATCCTACTAATGTTATTATCATAAAACATGTTGCTATTTAAAGGATTAGTTTTTTAAAGAACCGTGTAAGATTTAGTGGCAGGCATCTAGCAGTGTAGTAGCAGATTGCAACCAGCTGGCCTCACTGTCAAAGCATGAAGGAGAAACTATGGTGGCTGTGAAGGAGCTTTTTGTATACTACCTATACCTTTACTTTAGAAACATGGTGGTTCAAAATGGCGTGCTAAATGTTACACACTGGACCTTTTTTATTTGCTTTTATTATAGATAGGTGAGAAAATCAAGTCTCATGTTTGTACAGTTAAGCCAGCAGCAGTTAAGCTTAGCTTAGCATAAAAACTGGAAACAGGGGGAAACAGCTAGCCTGGCTCTGTACGAAGGCAACAAAATCCAGGAAACCAGCCAAGAAATAGTCCAGCACATAAGCCACACTGAAATCAACAATTATATCCTTTTGTCTGAGGATTAAACAAATGGGTTACAAACAAGGTGTTAATTTCCACGCTTTAGAGGAAGCAGATTTTGTAACCTTCAGACAGAGCCAGG